GGTCCAAGAAAAACAAGATCGCTAGTAGTTGGGCAGCAGATTGGGTTTCATGCGTAGAGTCAGTGAGATGGTGTTAGGGGTTTCTTGTGGCCGAAAATCGTTGATCAGTACTTATAGGTCCAGTGGGCTGCTTACCTACTTCAAGTAAAACTTTAGGAAATCTATGTAGCTTTGTAGACGAAGCTTGGGTGGATCTCAAACGTGTTTGCATGTGCTAGGAAAACGAAGCAAGCACAAAAGTTGCCAAGGTGTCATACAAAGGCAGGTAACTTATTTGCTATGCATATTTCCGGATACTCCGCTCTTCAGAAATAGTAGACGTTATGTGGTTGATTCTCACCTTACGACGAGTCACAATAGACGGTGGTGCGAATCCACGCAAGACCTTATGAATTAGGTTTTCAAATTATGACAAATCTATAATTCTGGGATTAGATCTATTATTTTACTATCACTAATACCGAGCTAGACCATAATTCTATAGGCGAACTTTTGTACAAGCTCAAACTAAAGAATCTATCCGGATCTTAGCCTTTTTCAGAGGTGTTCACCAAAAAGAGTACGGTGTGAGAAGGGATCGTCAACAGGTGAGTTCATTCCGAGCTTTTCAAGAATAAACATCGTTGCGGCCTTTCCACTTTCAGTACGTCAGATGGGCGTAAGGTGGAAAATAAGAACTAACAGTATTCAACATTAGACCTTATACATATCTTGTAAAGATTGATTCCCGACTTATTGTGAAGGATGTTACGGATAATGAAACCTAGTAATTTCCTCATTTTGGATGCTTTAGTGGAGTGCAGGTAACTCACTCCATGGTCATTTACTGGTACCAGTTTAGCGAATACGTCTCTGTTAATTGCGAGTTCTATTTCAACATACGTGTCTACAACACATAGCTACATTTTTCTGTATTGCGTGTTAAGCTCCAGAGCTTACACCAGTTATCTACCTTGTTGACCTCATGCTGGATTTTCTGTGTAATACATACTGCATCGTAAATGTCATTCGTATCGATGAATTTTAAATTATCAGCGCAGAGATAGGTCCCAGCTTTGTTAAAGCACTTGCACATAATGTTGCTGTAGACTATATGAAGCAGTGTATCAAAGGCATTCCTCCTGCTACCACCCCAGATTATTGGTCGCATTTTAAATGCCACGCAGTTCATTTTTTGATTGAGTATCTGACCATGAGAAACTTTAATCTGCTGCAATACAGGGTCAATAATTTTTACGGGATAGAGTCTATTAGTCAACAAATGATAACGTTTCATACCAATGGATATTTTGTGCCTGAAGGTAACCCTCGTTCTTTTGATAGAAGCAACCAGATTAGTAGTGAACGGGTCTTTATTTGGCTTGTGGAACAGTTACAGTAGAGCAGGAGGTTACGTGTGCAAACACCCAAAGCCTTTCAACATTCAATTTAAGACAATAGGAAATATAATTCCTATACGAAATAAGGAAGTGAATTAATACTTGAGCCTCATTGATTTGACATAAACTTAGTTGTTTGAGGTAACTCTTAACTAATAAACCTGAGTTGTTACGGATTTTTCAATGTAAAGGTGTAGTGTGACTGCAGTGGCTTTTGCCCTTAACCTCATGATCCTTGGGGTTGAACATGGATTAAATAAGTAGACTGGCCGTCGAACTGTTGGAGAAGGCCAGAAAAGGTTGACGCATGAACACGCAACCAACGCTTGCTTGATCATTTCGTGCCTTGAAGTAACCCTCGTGCTATTGATAGAAGAAACCAGACAAGTAGTGAATAGGTCTTTATTTCGATCTTAGCGCGGTCACAGTGGAGCGTGGGATTATCTGTTCAGACAAACAAAGGCTCTCAACATTTAATATAAATAATAGGGAATATACCGCTTATACAAATCAAGGAAGTGAATGAATACTTGAACAATACTGTTTTGGCATATGCTTGGTTGTTTGGGGTCAACTCTTAACCAACCAACCTAAGCCGTTACATTAGCTTCCCCCTAGAATCGACTTCCGTAGGAACGTCGGTTCGATTAACCTAACTATCGAAAACACCTTAGTTCTATTTCTCATCCCAAGGGAAAATTATCAACTCGCTCACTGTCTGACTTACAATCAGTGACGACTGACGCTGTCAACGAGAGTCCATGGATGTCTCTTTACTAGCTTGTCATCTTATTTTGTAGCATATGATTTCTTCTACAACTATGGCCGACGGTTTGCTGCGTGCTTTCAAGAGAAAGTGTGAGAATGTGGAATAAGAATATCTGAGGAAGTGCCGCGAGCGGGCTACCCAACACCATGTTGGTGAGGTACGATTTTTCCGTGCTCAGACCGGCTATCAGGTGTTTACTCACCTGCCTCTTGAGTCGCCCTCAAGTAAAAAGTAAAAAAGAATCTACTTCAAAGTTAATGGTGAAAATCAAGCAAACCTGAAGAACTGCTCCACCGCCTGCATAAAATAATAAGATACAAAATGGAAATACATAAATGTAATTGATAATTGTTCGGTTCCATTTAAGTGCTTGGACTCGCTCGATTTACTTAACCTCTTCCTTTTTTACGTTGAATGTATTATTCCCTTCCTAGCACGTGTATGTCCTTCGAAGGTTCGTGAAAATTATTCTGTCGACTGTCACGATAGGGGAAGCCAACATATGCAGCGATATGACTTCTTCGTGAGATCTTATAGATTAGGGAGTTACGCCCTAGCAAGTCCATAGTACTGGTTTAAACCTATCACTCTAATCGCATAGATAAGTGCAATGATACTAAACAACTTATAAGTCCAGCAGGATCACTGGGTGCTTTTCGTTACGGAGGAGAGTAAGCTCGCTGAAAATATCTACCAGACATCAGGTGTGAGAACTTTATCTATCCAACCCGTGCTTCAGGGGATTTATTATACTTCCTCCGGGTAGGTGAGCGAATATTTGGTCCCATATTAATTTCCCCATCATGTGTGAGGTAACAACAGTGATATCCATTGATCTATAGTTCTGGATTAGGTTTATCGGTTCTTATTTTTGATTTGAAAAATCAAATTCCACTGCATCTAAGTGTAGTGTCATGGTATTAGTATGTCCCGCCCCGTCATTATTTACAGAACTGAAGGGATGTAATTTGCAGCGGAATTTGTCTCAGATTTAAGGGTTTTAATGGCATGGAGAACATAAGCGCCATAAAAATTAATGCTATTGAGGTTATTCTTATTTATTCAATTAATATCTGGGGTATGAGGTGTATCCGCAATGCCATTCACTAATTCACAAATGACAGTTTGGTAACCATATATTATTCTTTTGTGGAATATGTAGTGAATATTGTAGTATGCACTCTTCTTTATCGGTTCTTTAGGCAATGAACATAAGTTTAGTGGCTGAATTCGGCAACAAGCGCTGTACGTCCCGTTACTTGTTTATATCTTTCAGGCTTACTTATCACACACTCATGCAAATAGTGTATTTGGTGGGGAGAGCCGACCTCTTCTAATAATACAGCCACTTTGGTTTCTCTAGCTTAGTCCCGGTTTCTTTTATTCATGTAAGGAGTTATTTTTTGAAAGCTCTTCTAATGTAGACGGAAATAAATGTGGTTCTGTAAATTAAAAGCTCGTTAGAGTGCCTAAATGGGACTCGAAAGTTTGTTCACTTGATGTGTGACTAACCCCTCTGTTGAAAACACGTCGTTATAATTTTGGATTTACCGCATTTTGCAAGAAAAGATAAACTTAAGGGCAATATTTTATGACTGTTCTAATAAAGACGTTCACTGATCACTATGAATGTCGGTGTGGCATTATGACGAAATATCACAAAATGAATGGTGTTTTCGCAAATACACGTGTACTTGTCGTTGTTAATCATGTATATCTGCGGATTTAAGTTTTTTTTAATCATAATGTTTGCACCAGACGAACATCCTAGTAGTTGTGATTTCTTTTTCGTGGACATCTGAGACTTCGTGCAAGTAGATTCAACTATGGTCTGGACTACAGTTTTTATTCCCCAAAATTGTCGATAACAATAAATGCAGCCTTTCTATCATGGGTAGACGGTATAATGACAACTATAGTTATCTGAAAAAAGTGGGCCATTGTTTGGGAAGTTCTCCATCAGATCGAGAGTCATCTGGACTTTATCTGGAAGAAAAGACTTTGTAATGAGTTACTATCCACATAACTGTCAGTGACTATTTCGACAGGTTTATTGGCAATAACAGTATCGAAAACGCCCATAAATTTTAGCACGAAAATGGAAAACGTTCACAGTTAATCCAGATTAACCATAAAATGCAGAGATGTGGCAACAAGATAGGCTAATAGTGATGACAAAGTGAAGAGAACGTGACAAAGGGTTTACGAACTCAGCCGGTCAGGATATAGAAAATTGACATATGGAAAAACACGTTTGTGTACCAGAAACTGAAGCTCCAACTAGTCAAAATGAACGTACACAAAGAGTTTCGTATAACTGATTATCTCTTCAAGTGTTAAGTACGTGCTCGGATCTAATTTTCTATTATGATAAACCCTGTAACGTCGAGCCTTTGATAGATTCACGTCTATCTCGAAGGTATTTAGTAAGCCAAAGGAGTATATAGAATTGAACGTGAGGGAATCCAAAGGAGAAAAGAACAAATCAGCGGACTATTCAGTAAGCGCATGAGATCCACTCACACTTATTAAAGAAAGCAATTAACAGCAGTTAAAATCAGCACAAGAGTGGGATTAAGGCTACGTGATAGTGAAAAATTGAATTTTCTGGTGTGAATATGCCACAAATCTTTAGCCGTTCATGTGTAACCAGAAGGTACTTTGTGTATTCGGGGTATGTACAGAAGCGTGGGTGGGAAAAGAAGAAAACAAAAGAAAAGCAGAGTCAACGATCCAGTAAGCGCAAAACATAGATTTACATTCATTAAGGAAAGCATCAAGCAGCAATAACACAAACTTCAGAACAAGAAAATCATGGAACTGAAACTAGAAGCAGGTAGTTTATTCTGTAACAGCTCCTATTTTCAAATTAAGCGCTGTAGTGTACTTGTCTTTGAGACTTTCGAAGTTTGAAGATTCCGATTCTCTATCGTAAAGATTACTCAGCATAATTCATAGGTAAGCTTTCAATTAGGCCTGACGATATTCAAGGATAAAATAATAGCGGCCATCTCCTTTCTGTCGCTACGTTAATGGGCCGTTCGCGTAGCAGATCACTGTCTAGTGGTCACAAGTCGAAACCTAGACGGTACAGAAGCCGTTCGCGTGATAGAATCAAAGAGCGCGACAGGTATCGTGACAAAGAACGCGATAGGATACGCATAAGAGGGAACGAAAGGTCGTATCGAGACCGTCATCGTCATGACAGAAGACGGAGGTAAACCGACGGTATACTTTCTTCAGTACTGTTTCAGAAAAAGAAGTTCGACAGTGTCAAGCTACGATAGTGAAGCAGAGAGGCGAAATCGAAAATCAAAAATGAAGGAAATAGATAGGAAAATAGAAGAGGCTCGAAGGAAAGAAGAAGCTGAAAAACGTGCTCTGGAGCAACGAGAAAAGTAACTGTTTTGTTCTAAAACTTACGCTGTATTGGATCCACAAGGTCTCAGCGCTTCGTATGTAAGCCTTGCCACTCAAGGCTTTTGTTAGCTTTAACCACACTTATAAAAATATGCTTTAGGCGTCCTAACCACTGTATGGTTAACAAATTAGACCAAATGCTTGATTTTAGTACATTGAAAATTTTAGTGCTTTAGGCTCTGTTTTATTGTGTAAACTTATAAGTTTCTGCGAAACACCAGAATATCTATTCATTTATTTCGGTTTGCACTATCTTTCTATTTCACCATCATAGTAATAGAATAAGTTATGATGACGAAAAATAACTAGATAAAATGGGGTGCCATACTTCAAAATTTATAAGCAATAAATGGGACCAGCGAATGAAAAAAATATAGGATTGTAACAAACTTGAATCACTTGGAAATATTAAAAGTGAAATTGTTGTTCATCTCTATGAAGCGAGTAGGTATAGGCAATATATCTTAACTATGTTGATTGATGAACGTTCGTGGCGTTACCAATCGAGTTTCTGTTTTTGCTTAGTAATCCATATAGTTTCATGTTCATTTAATAGTTCCTTTATGTATAGTCAATAATTTGAAGGGATGATTGAGTGCTGTTGACTTGGATGTGTCCTGTACATTCACATATCGTATTTCATGATTATAAGGTGATAGCGGTGTGTTGTGCAGTGTGCTCGCTTAAGCTATGACTTGACTAGATTCAACTAAGTACCACGCCTTGGCATTGAGGTTTCTCCAGATATCAAGCCTGTTAAGACTTAAGGTGGGCAGAGTCAACCCACTCAACTACCTCATTTTCTATGATCAGACTATGCATTAAAGTAAATTAGTTTCAAAGCAAAATTTCAAGTGTCAATAGTTGGGTGTACCACAAAGATTCATGGAACATCACTAAAACATTCATAAGATTTCATTTTGTCTACGTCATCCCCAAGCAAATAAGTTTTCCTCAACTGTTCTCTACACATTGTACGGAAAAACTAGTCTCTTGTAAAGACTGTCAGGTTGCAATTGTCATCAAATTAAGTGAGAGAAGCTTTTGCTTTTAACCAGGTGCCATATTTCTGGAAGAATCTAACATCCTTTGTCTCTGGGTAAAACTTATGTATGTGGAAAAAATCAGCAGAGATTGAGAGAGTAAAAATAAGACTCAGTTCGCTACGTGAGTTCGTTGAATATCTAGAGATATGTGCTTTCTGTTCAGCGACGTCAAAAAAATTGAGTAGATTAGCTACATTCATATTCAAACCTTTAAAGATTCTTCTTAGGATTAGTGTTGAGACTAGGTTTCAAAAACCAGTGATGGCTTCCGATACTATTTGTCAGGATAATATGGTCTTCCAGTTCCTAGTATTCTAGAGGAAAACAACCAAATTTTACCATATGTCGCCGATAAATTTTCTCTTGAATGCACCTCAAAGCATTGGTCTTGTAAAATGCTATTTCGTATAAGGCGGTTTTAAACTGATTGAAATTCTTATCAAAAATTGAGGCGCGCTACGTACGCTAGATTAGCCTATGTTTCATTCATGTCACGATATTAGATGTGAGGTTGTATGTAACCGAAGCGCAAATCTCCCTCCAACGGCGCTAGAAAAAGCATAGTCTTTCGAACTGTGTATGTTGCTGACATTCTGTTTTAAATTGATCATCTTGAACTTTACAGAGTTATGTGTCAGTCTCTTACCGTCTGACCAATTATGAAGTTCAGTTAAATCTTTCAGAGATAGCTTATTGTCATGCTTTCGAATTGCTCACAGTAATTCCGCATCATTAGTAATCATAATCAATCTTACTGACACCAGGCTTTCTAGTCAGTCAAGAAAATTTGTTAGTAAATGATAACAATGAAATAGATTAAATAACTAATCATATATGTATATAAATATTACCGTTAAACTTGGTGAGGATATAATTGGAAACAATGTTGTTTATATATTCTAATTCATATAATCGGTTTTCTTAATATTTCTACTGAAGTTGAAGACACAACACCAGTCTGTGAACTCATTCACCGTTTTGAGTTGTGTATGGATTCACGCTGTACTGTCCGTTATTATGGTACTCATTTACCAAGTCCATGCCTGTGTAGTTGGCTTCATACTATTGTCTCTTTATGATTGATCGATTGACATATTTAAGCCACATTTAGTGTGCGCACTAGTATTGCAACTTCCCTGTCACAACTGAAGTAAGCTTACCGGGGCTCGAGCCTTTGACTTTGAAATTATTTTTACCATAAAAGTCAGCAATCAAGTATCCTGGATGATAGATGAAATTTTATTTGTTTAAGACGGATTCGTTCAGTTGTTTATTAGTCTACACTTGATTCACTCTCCAGACCCAAAAATTTTTAGTAATTTATAAGATCTACACAGTTTCTTTTCCTGCACAGTTTCAGAGTGGAGAAACTTGGCTATATATTCATGTTTTTTGGTTCCACGTTTTAGTATTTGTCTGTCAGTCTATGAAAATGTTGTATACATTTTACAGCAATAGACCATTTTGATATGTTATTTTTTAACAAAACATGATTATAATATCCTCCATAATTCAGAGAACGACGGTTGCAGGAGGAACGTGAACGGGAGGCGGAAGCAGCCAGGCAGTTAGAAGCTCGTGTTACAGAGGCTTTCGAAGCTGCTTTAGTAGATAGGGCTGAAGACCTCCAGGCTGAATTGGAAAGAAGATATCAAGCGGAAATTGACCGGAGAGTTAAGAATAAACTAGATGAGATCGAACGTGAATACCAAAGCAAGCTGGAAGAGCAGAGACGTATGGAGGTAACCTTGTAAACATTTTGGAGCTAGTTGATAACTTGTTCAGTACTTACGATGCAAAGTCGTTACGTTCAGTTATTGTTTGTTGTTTATGTGTCGCTCAGCATTTTAATTGTTTTATTTGATATAGATTAGCTCGATTGTTTAAAATTTAAACATGGAGATTTTTCTGTTGTCGTTAATATGTAGACAATTTATGTAGATAATGGTAATCTAGGTTTGGAAAGACTTGAGTTATTTCTCGTCCGACATTATTCTGTGTTAGAGAGTCAACGTAAGCACTAAAAGTATTCTCTAAAGGATAAGAATCCACAGGGTCGCAGGGCCTTATAAATTTACTTGTATTTCAATTACATGTCATCTTTATTACACGAACATATTTCCATCTGCCACTTTTTCGTTTACTGGATCTTCACTTGGCGTTTGCTTTTTGCTTTTTTATTGACCGTAATTTATTCGCAACAACTAAGCTATATTTAGTATTATTAGAGTAATTAAATATATACCTGCACACCCTACTCTCTGTTTAGTTATCAGTTAGATATCTCACATTGTGACGTAAAGTGGTAGTAACTTATTGAACGCTTTAAGTACGTTTTGAGAATATGCCTTACAACTTTCGATATTTGCAAAATATTTATAATGGTCAACTCATTATCTTGCAGGATTTCGTTTATTTTATTGTGAATCAGATTTCCTAGTAGGAAATGAGAGTATTGCTTATGAGAGTATACTTATGATTTAGTTGAATTACCACCTGGTATATTTACCCTAGCTTCTACTAGATCACAATTATTGGAACAATTAGCCCTCAGTCGTATGATGTACCTTCGCATATCGTTTAAACTTATATAAAGTGTGACAATATCTGTTGAAACTGCGTTATAACACAAGATTTCATAATATTTAATGTATTATGCTCGAACTTACTGTTCGTGGTTCTTAATTATTCCGGATTTTGAACAAGCTCATAATTTGATTTAAGCTGTTTGCTATAGAAGTATAGATTTTCCTAGAAAATCCCAATTGTTTTATATCGATCGGATGTTAATATTATGGTTTCACATTTATGTTACATGTATGTAAGATATTTTGTTCACCTTTTTATATGTGAAACTGTTTTTAACGTTTCGCCTTATTCCAGGAGGAGGAAAAACGTAAACAAGCAGAATTGGACAAAATACTTGAAGAGAATAATCGCAAACTCATGGAAGCTAGGCGTAGAGAGGTTTGTTTTCTCATCAATCTTTTGTTTCATGCTGAAATAACTCACTTGATTTTAGGATGCATAGTGGGTACGTCTTATCACGACGTAACACAGAAATCATAAGTTACATAAGGCGTAGAGTGAAGTAACATTTTCATTTAAAAAATAAATTTAACGTGCGAAAATATTTCCAGTATAAGTTTATATGCGTGATCAAACCATATTTGTTTTAAATCAAGGAAATTTATTTACCCAAATACCACCAATCAATATAGGTATATTTAAAATATTTGTATTACCATGGTAAATGTTAGTTGGGAAACCTAATCTTCGGTAGTTAGTTCAGAGAAATCTCGTTGAACTAATCTCTGATCAATATCAACGTTTAACGGAAACCGGGATGTGAGCCTTACGGCTTCATAAAGTTAAGTTCCTCCTGGTAATCATTAACTTGAAAGTATACATAAATGACTTCGTAGGACTCAAAATGGGTTGCGAAAATGTGACTTTCTTAGTTGTATTTCAATAAGCTGACAGTCTAAGAGGAAAAAAATGCTGTATACAGAGTTTTGTATACATTCAAAAACCTAATTCCTTAACGTTTATGTGTATCATTCTTCTACGCTTGTATCTATGGTAATTTATCTGCTATAGATCCTTTCTGTATTAGTAAAACCTTTAGTTAAGGTTTAGGTATCAGTACCAAGGTTGGGCTTCATAGTTTCAAATAAATTGAGCATTGTGCAGAGTTAATGATAAATACATTTTTTGTTACATCCCAGTAAGTAGAAAAAATTTTAAGGTAGTAAAAGCTTACTTGTGTGGGTAAAACTTCATAAATAAATACGGTGAATAGTAGTTTTCCAGAGAAGACTGTTAAATGTATTACATATGAACCACTACCCGGTTATCCTTTATCTTATGATGAAGAATATATGTATCCAACTATTATATATTGCTGCATCTTTGATAACTGCATAGGCTTTCATATCGTTGAAAATCGAACGAACTGAGTCGTTATAAGTTTCGGTTAAAGTTGATTTCAATTACTGTATTTTCGTTTTCTGTCACATTTAACAGATCTATGCACTAAAATGAAACGGATGTATTTTAGGACCTTATGTGACGTTTCCATTGATTGTTGTCTTCTTTCATGCTATTGTCCAATGCGACGCTTCTCTTGCTGCTCATATTACGTTAACTTGAGATTTTATAAATATGTAATAGTATCCCACTTTAATTGTTTACAGCTGTGAACAGTCTCAAAATTCTTCGGGACAATGAAAAAGTACTTGAATTCCTCCTCCATAAATTAGTCGAACTTTGAGATTTGCACTATGGTTCTTTTTCATTAAAAATCAATCAAGAGGCCAATTTTTAATTTCATTGGAGTACTTTCGGAAGACATAATTGTTGAAAATGAAGGGGTGTAGTCGTATAAAAGAGAAAGGACTGCCGTCTTTGCTACATTTCTTAGATTAGTTCATGTCAATCTCGATTCAGGATTACACAAAATCAAACATAAGGGATTTAAGCAGTTAACGTAGATAAATAATAACTTTTTCTCGGTTATTTTCATTGTACTTTTGATATTCTGTGATTTAACCATATCAATCATCTTTTTATTTTATGGAATAAGCTTAATATTTGTTTTCTCTGGTCTTGGGTTATGGCGTATTGATTTCATCTTGCATATTCCTGTCTAGTAGACCCCAAATGCCCTGGTACGGTCGAGAGTGGGGAGAGTCGGCTCCCCCTCTCGAAATGCTCTCACATGGCTACGTGTATACAGCCACTGCCAAAGAAGTCCTACTCATTGCCTTCTCGTGACGGAGGTGTTGTTTACGGAATTGAGAGGACGAAAAGCGAATGTTCGGTGATTTAACCGGGTTGGTGGATATGGAGGATCCACCTAGGGGAGTTGGAAAACCCTGATTCTAAACCAATGGTGTACATGGGCTCCATGGGACTGCATCTCCTGACGTTGCTCTGCTACCTTGTGGATTAGACTTGTAGGTCGAAGGCTCGGGGTGTGGCCCGCTAAGACAACCACCTGCTTCGGTCTGGGCACCTGGGCTGTATCCCAGCCCTCACACAAATCAAATTATTTGTGTGATGTATACATATTTGGTGCCTCCTTGTACCAACGTTTATTTGTTTAAACAATAAAACTAATAGCAAACTCAACTCGTCGTTTCCCATCAAACTGTTTTCTTAGAGTTGTCTTTTCGAGAATTCAATGTAGAAAAGTGATAGTATTTTCTCCTGAAGTTTCCTCTGGCTAAAACCATACATATGAACGTATCAATGTATAAGTAAGATTTTTGTTTCGGATTATAATCCATATTTTTTGTAGTTTGTGTAACGGAACTCCACTCTTAAGAACTATTTCGTATCAATGTAACTCAGATTTCATTATCTTTCATCATCAACTTTGTATGTTCATTGAAATAAAATAGCGTTGACTTTTTGTAACTTTTCTATTTATTTTAGGACTATTACCTACAGCCGATTAACGGATCTGCATTATAAGGTTCTGTATATATAATTTTTCTTGATAAAACTTATTCTTCTGTACCTTCATTTTCATTTACCAAATAAAATAGTTTATCAAAATCATCAATGTTTTCAAATTTCATTCGTTTTTCGAGATCGGGATAGATATTTCCTGGAAATTTCTTCTTCCCATATTTTTTTCTTACTGACTGAAATAAAAAAGTACTTTCAAGGTTAAAAGTTTTTTTTCGAAATTGTTATCTATGAGTTCTACACTACGTTTTATGCTAATATTCAAAGCAAGTCACAGGAGTTAAGCCGTGTTAAGATTGACCTTATTGGTATTTTCGGGGTGTGTTTAATCAATAAGAACCGTTTAATTAAACCTGAAACACTTGATGAAAAATGTTAGGCTTTAGAATTTCGAGTTAGTTATAGGTTAAGTGGAATAATCAAGCGATTAATCCGTAATTTAAATGGCATCAAAACAATATGGGATATGCTCCGCGTACGATCGTCAGATGAGATGATATAAACAATGTTACAACATATATGAGTGAGTTAATACTTGACTTGTCACATCCATGTTATCCAGCTTTGTAAATTAATGGTGGTTGGTACGGCCATAGGCCTTGCTTCTTCTGCTACAACCATATTTTAATCTCCGTTTCAATTTATTTTTACATCGTTAGTTTTTTCATCATACGCAAGTTACTGATGCGAAATTGTGATTTGTAAAGCATTAGAGGACTTTGGGAGATGTATGGTTCTTAGATCATTTTCAGTGGCTCAACAGTTGTTACTCACTTAACTACTGAGGGATTATAGTAAGTTGTTCTCAGGGTTTGAGCCGTACGGAAGTCTGGAAAGAAACATACCTAGATGAGGCGCAATTCTGTCATGCTAAGTATCTATGTACTTATCGCTATATGTTAGGATCGTGTTATGCTCTGCAAACATCTTATTCATTGTGAAGGGTGTTGTAACTACAGACTACAGTGGATGCTGATCTGTCCATCTATAATGAAGCCAGGCGCACTTTAGAACTTTGGCATTTTCCATCGTATTATGATCACTTTAACATAAACCCTGTAAATTCCCTCCGTGCATAACAGGTTTCCTTTAACTAACAGATGTTCAGGTTAACAAAGACATCAGTATCCCTACTACATTATATACTTACTTCATTTGACCAAATGGAGCTTAACTTTGTTTCCACCCACATCTCAAGATCCTTAGAATTGTAGTTCTGTAAATAAGCGATAAATTTGGGAATGTAGCATTTTACATTTAATATAGATATAGCCTGCTCATACATCTTTAAGTCCGTCGAGTATTTGTAAATTTCGGAAATCGAGGTGGCTGCAATGTTTGCTATCTATCAATAAGAATAAGCGTACCATGTCAACGGTTATTCTTACTCTTAATTGGTTGCTATCCATACCAGTACTCATAAACCCGGGGACTAGTTACGTAAGTCGAAAACGTATAAGTATGCAGTACCGTGTGTATTAACGTGTATAAACAAAGTTCTTTCCTACTCAATCCATATTGAGATCTGAGGCTCAGTGTGCTAGATTAAAATGTGATGCTACGTCTGTTTGAAGTTTTTTTGGTTCATATTCTTTGGATGTTGATATCGTTACAGTTCATTCAGCGCTCTATTCAAAAGGACAGTGGTATTCTTTCTCGTTGAGTTAATTAACTGTTTTGATCGTAAATTACGCATCAAAACTACTGTTTACACTTTAATTGCATCTACCCCAGTTAAAGTGATATTGTATTGAGTTTTTCGATTTTGCTTTTGTGTATTTATTGCATCGAAGCATACTTGATCGACTTTTACTTGATTTATTTAGTTAAGGTTTGAAAATCCTTTTACATATCCTGTTTTTGTCACCGTTCTGGCTGATTTTCAAGATGGCTAGGTCTACTCATAAATGTGGACAACCATACTGCTTATTTCCCGTGGATGAAGGGGTGCAATGTGATGATTGTAATAAGTGGTTCCATAATATGTGCACTCGATTAAGCCCCACTGCATATAAAAGGTGTTCAAAGCCCAACTCTCATTGGCTTTGTAGTTTTTGTTGCTCGAGCAAAACATTGCTTATCCAGGAAGCAATTAGTCTCCTGGTGTTGGCTAATAAGAATGTTGATGAGGGCTGTACTGATAACATTGGTACTGATGGCAAAGATTGCGTTAGTGCTATCACGGCGCAAGCCAGACATCTACCTGTCCAACCCGCAGTTAAACGTTCTCCCCCGAAACGATCAGTGAGTGACACGTCATTAGACGTTGGTGGCCATATTGCTACAGCAGCAACCGGTGACCCAGATAAAACAATTACTGTCCCGAGTTGTTCTAATGTAGACGTTTCGACTGATGGAAAATGGATGACGCGAAAACGCAGAAGAGTAGGAAAGATAGCTAAAACTAATGACTGTTTACTTGATAAGTCCTTGGTGGACTCTCAGACCAATCCGCCAAAGTCCCATAGTAAAGCTTCGTCTGACATTGTTGTGAGTCATTCGCTTGACTCCCAGGACTCTGTTAAAATAAAAACTAATCGTAAGCTACCAGTAGTTAAAATACAGGATCTAACGTCACGGTCGAAAGCTGTGAACACAGTTTCAAAAGAAGCTAAACCCCTCCCTAGTTTAATTATTTGGAATCTATAGGAGTCGAAAGACAACGACCCTGCTAGAAGACATGCACATGACCTGCAGTTAGTGGAGTCTGTGGTAAGGAATGTACTACCTGAAGAGGTTTCAGGGGTACATATTAAAAAAGTAATACGACTTGGTAAATGGGTTGGAGGTGAGACCCAACCAAGAAGAATCCTGAAGCTGGTTCTCGGGAGTTTTGAAGAAAGAGACATATTATTGAAAAGCGCACTAAAAACTCGTGCCTCAAATATCCGTATTCGACCAGATTGGCCGCTTGAGGATCGAATCAAGTGGAAGAATGCTCTTACGGAGTTGAGGACTCGCAAATTAAATGGCGAAAATAACCTTACCATTAAGGGTTTTCGGGTAGTCAGGTCTTGGAAGCCAATGCTTCCGAGGCCTGTATGGGTAGAACGATTGATTTCCAAAACACCTTAAGTGTGTGCTACACGAACGCTCGTAGTCTTAGAAATAAAACGTCCGAGCTAAGTCTGATGGTGCAAGAATTATGTCCCGATATAATCGTTGTTACAGAAACTTGGTTCACCGTTGATATAGACTGTTCTCCTTTCATTGCTGGTTATATCTGTATCAGAAGTGATAGAGTTTCAAGTCGCAAAGGGGGAGGTATAATATTATACGTTAGGGATCACTTTCGTATACAATCAACCATATCGGAGGCTCATATCAGTGGCACATGTGAGGTTGCATGTTGTAAGATTAAATCTAGAAATGGGTTAGTGACTATAGGAGGAATATACCGTAGTCCGTCTTGTCTTACCGACGACTTTATCCTAAGACACATCTGTTCTTGGAGTATGGCAGAATGTTGTCTCATCATTGGAGACTTCAACGCACCGCATATCAACTGGATAGAGCTTACAGCTCCAGGTAGTGGTTTCGATAAAGACCTTTTATCTACCGTTATTCAGTGTGCACTTGTACAATGTATCACAAAACCGACACATATTGATTTGCAACATGATCCGTCACTGCTGGACCTCGCCCTCACCCACCACTCTGAGGATGTCTTTGATATCCAGCACCTTCCTCCACTAGTGAACAGTGATCACGTTGTAATTCACTTTAAGTTTAGGACACATGGTATACAATTCGTATCTGCTCCACCCCGTCCCAATATCTGGCGAGCTAATATTCCGGAAATCAGAAACTGTGCTATCTCGACTGATTGGTCGGTCGACGCGGATGGATTGATCGAAGATGAATGGAATAAGTTTAAGGCTACATTCGAGTCCGTAACGTCGCCGTTTATCCCATGGTCAGCACGTGAGCTATCACATTGCCCTCCATGGATTAATAAGGAAACCTGGAAGCTGTTAAAGCGTAGGAAACATTTCTGGGACTTATTCTTGTTGACAGGTCATGCAACATTTAAGCGTGAGTACCAAAAATACCGTAATATCTGTAAGAAAACCATAGCGAAATCCCGTACCACTTACGAACGACAGTTAGTATATGATAGCCGTACTTGTCCGAAACGGCAAATGAAACGTAGTGATGGTAGTCCCCCGTTACTGTTACACGAAAATTCAAAATTACTAGCTGAATCAGATCGAGTAAAAGCTGAGACTTTTTCAGACTATTTTAGCGAAGTCTTCTCTACGTTTATTGTAACAAATACTTGTCCCACTCACACCGAGATACCAACCATTGAATCTGTACAGGTGACTGAGGAAACTGTCCTTCCGTTGATAACTAACCTCAAACCTGGTAAGATACCGGGCCCTGACGGGTTACATCCACGGTTGCTGTCATCTCTTGCGGACATTATTTCAACCGCTGCTACTTAGGTCGTCGACATTATTGTTTGCGGACGATGTAAAAATCTGGAGAACAATAAAAAGTGCGACTGATCATCTGGATCTTCAAGCTGACTTAGACGATTTAGTTAGATGGGCTCGAGAGTGGGGCTTAGAAATCAATGCTAGGAAGAGTGCACTAATGCACATCGGTCACGGTAATAGTTACCATTATACAATTGATGGTAAACCTCTCCCATGTGTTCAAGAGCATAAAGACTTAGGAGTAATAATAAGTCATGATTTAAAAACAACTATGCATTGCAAAGCAGCCTCTGTCAAAGGTTTTGTGCGTTATGGTCACTTCGCCGAGCGTTCAAATCTTTTGACGATGAAACGTTTCGAATTTTATATCCCATATACGTTAGACCACATTTAGAGTACTGTATCCAAGCAGTTGGCCCGTGTCTGGTAAAGGATACTAACTCCCTTGAGCGTGTCCAGCGTGTGGGAACGAAATTAGTGAAGGGTCTTTCTAGACGCCCTTACGATGAGCGTTTAAAACGCCTAAATCTTTTCCCCTTGTCGTATCGTAGGACACGAGGTGACCTTATACTGGCATTTCGTATCTTTAATTATGATTTGGGTGTTAATATGTCTTATCTTTTTGCTCCCTCCAGCACTAA